AATGTCATATGTTAAAATACAATTTACAAAATTTAAAAGCAGTTAAAGCAATACAATTGTTGATCAATAAGAATGCTCAAGGCATCGCTTTAAAGTATTAAAGGTACAGAAAAATGCTTTTGATTAGTATATTAGCTATCATTGTATATAATTAACAAATCAACTAATGCAATACAGATTAGGCTAATTTATGTCTCAGGAATCTTGTTATTCCACATTCAATCCTCACACCCACATTTGCCTTGTTGGCAAATTAAGAAATAGAGACTAGAAAGTCTGAACAAACATTGTTTTATGTTCTAAAATAAGTATTTTCAATAGTCAGTTTCCTTTTCCTAAGTGTGAGGACAAAATGGCCGAAGAAAATACCAGACATCACTCCAACAGTGGTTTACTGGGGTGTGAAGTTTTTTCAGAGACTCCTGATACCACGTTAGAACAATTGCAGGGGTAGTATGTAGTGGGTGCATTTGCTAAGATTTATTTTCCAGAATTACTAATTATATAGCCTTTGTCATGCCAAAGAGCTTTTCACCATGCTGTGGCAGCCTGCTAGGTGGAGAAAAGTGCCACCTACTGGTCTACCAGCACCACTTACAGCAGCAATCTGCATTTTTCTGCTTGATGGCAGTAAACACTAACTTGTGTGTTTCATAGCCTATAAGCTTTGTTAGACTTTTTGTAAGCTATTATATTAGCTATTTGTTTGGTGTCTCATCATTGAACGCTCTCTTTTAACAGGATTCCTTTAACCTTTTCCTTTAATTTAAGTAATATTTTCTATGTCTATTCTTCATTTTTTTTTCTAAAGTGCAATAGAATCTTATTTTTTTTGCTACATGTATGTATCTTTAGAAAAGAAAATTTCTAAAAAGTTTAATAATAAAACTTTAAAACTGATTTATTGATAGTTCCCTTTTTTGCTGAAATATTTTTCTTTGGGTTTAATGGAGACAGAATCAACATGCAATCTTGTAAGATGTACTGTAGATTATGTATATTAATTTCAGATCACAGATGGTGAAAGTATAAAAGCCTTAACTCCATTACTGACACTGTGAATAGGAGCGTATTATTTACCCAGCTGGTTGGTCTCTGTTGCCTGCCTTCCTCCAAAATTTAATTTGGTTTCTGAAATAGAATAACATGGGCTTCAGTAAATACATTTTTTTGAGTTAAGATGGGCTCATAGACAAAGTGTTGTTTAGATACTTTTTAGACATTACTTTTTAGTTTTGAATGTAAGATGTTTTCGATAAATAAATTATATTTAGCATACTGTATTTGGAGTGACTGAAAGTAATAGTTTCTAAGCACAGTATTGGTTCATGTCCATTGTGTTCATAGCCAATATATTCCATCTCACTGGGACAGTTAAAATACTAACAGAAAGCTCAGTTTCTTATTACGTTAGCTCTTCTAACCCAATGTTTTATACCATATCATCCAGTAACCAGGAGCTTGTAAGGAAAAGGGAAATAAATATACAGTGAAAAAATTAATTCTAATTATTTATGTCATTACAAATTGGGGTTGATATATTACAAAATAAGGAAACAAATAATAATGTGGTCATGACAATAAGAATAATATTATATTATAAAGATATAAGAAATCATTTCACTCTCTAGAGTCAGAAAACACTGAGAATTTTACAAAACGTGTCTGATTTTATTCTCTGGCAAAATTGAATGACAGAATAATGACCAGGCCCAAATGTACAGAAATATTTATGCACAACAAATAATACAAGTATACAACACACAGCGTTGTACAATATCACCACCATGGATATTTACAGGTCAGTTACAGAGCCCCACCTTCTACAAACATAGAATACCCGGAAAACTATTCTTATAATCTAAATAAAACTACACACCTTAATACACCAAAGAGATAGGACCTACATCTTGATTAACTAAAGTGATCATAACTGGATCTAAATAGAGGCTAACAAAAGAATGGAAGCATTTTTCCAATGCCAAACAAAGGCATCGCTGAAATAGTAGATACATTTTTAGCCCGTGGGTTCCACAATAAAGGAAATCAGAATTTCTAAATAAGACGGCAAACTCACATAATGAAGCTCAGTCTGGCACTGTTGCGATGACCTGTACAGAATATGGTTTGACAGGAAAGAGACGCCTTTCCATGACAGAAGCTTATGATGATGATGATGATGTCTGTTCTCTTTCTGTCCTCCCTGTTCTTCGTGTACTGTATATATGCAATGGTCCATTCCTATGGATGCCAGCTTAATGACTTCACTGGAAATGGCCTGGTCACTGTTCAATAATTTTTCCTTAAATTAGCCGGCTTAATGATCTAACAGTGAGTTCATTTAATCTGAGTTAATTATTAGAACTTATTTTGATCTTCTGGATCATTAGACCCGTTTACATGTCTCAGTGCCCAAGAACAGGACAAGAGTAGGACCATTGTTTCAAAACTTCAGAATGGAGTATAATATGTAATATATAATATACCATGTATATACATGGTAAAAATGTATTTTATTCAAGGTCTTCAAAGGCATTTTCCAAGTCAACCCAATTATATTCTTCAGAATTAACAATGAAACACGAAGCTGAGGACACAAATGAAAACTTAGGGGAAAAGCATTTATATTAGAAAATAAAAATATTAATAACATTGGTTATAAAAAATGCAATTTATTGTAAGAATCAGATTGTGATTTACTTTTTATTTTAAATTTAAGACACAATTTCACAACCTGAATTTGCATTGTTTTTGTGTTTGTTGTTCTCAGAATGCAGATTTCAGATTAGTTCATATTTGTTATTAAACAATTAAACACTGGACTGAAGGGGAGAAAGGATGGAGACTCCAAAGCATTACTTTGTTAATAATAAATTCAGTATCACCGTGGAAGGCCAGCGAGTACCAAGAGTGCTGCTGCTTCATTGGGAATTTGTTGTAAGGTTGCCACACATCCCCACCTAGTGGTACATCCAAGCGGTTTCACCAAACTACCTAGCAACGCATTCTTGTTATTGTTTTTGTACGTAATAAACCACAAACTTTAGAATGCTTCTGAAAGAATCTATCCCCTTCTAAATGCTCATATTTGAAAAACAATGGTGGATTTCTTTGAACTAGTGGTGGTATTGATATTTTGGTCAAAACTGTTCTGTATTGGATGTAGACAAATAAAGTATTGCATGTAGGGAGAAAGAAATACAGCACAAATCTAGGATGGGAAACAACTAGTCTAGTGTTGATTTACTGTGAATAGGGAAACGGGTGCCAATTTAGTTAGCATCTGTTTTATGGCTCATTCTGATTTGAATCCTTATCAGCACACAGATGCTCTTTCACTTTATAGTGTTTAAGTCATGATTATAGGAAGAATTCTGGTTTAGTTAGGTCGGTAGAAAGCAAGACCCATAGAATTGTATATATCTGTATATTAAACTGTGTAACTTATTGTAAATATTTGTCCTGTTTAAGCTGGTTGTCTATTTATTTCTCTATTACCAAGTTGTGCTGGAAAATAAATGCAACATGCTGTGATACTTGCTTGGTATTGCCTAATAAGATATGAAATGATTCTTCTTTATGGTTTTTTATTGGTGTCTGCCCATGAACTTGTTACTGATTTGAGAACCTTATTTATAATATTATCCCCCCATCCTAACAGCGTTTTGCTGCTTCCAGGCCTGTTGCACTCATGGTCACGCTTGATGTTGACCCCATTTCAACAGTAAGGCCTTACTTGGTAAAGAGCAAGTATTTCGCAGGGCATTGTTTGAGAGACCACAACGTGTCCAAAGCAAATATGACTATTAGGTCATGGGTATGAACTCTGAATGGTGAGAAATACCACAAGAGCATGGCAATGACATTTTGGTCCATCTCCAACATTTGTGACTAGGCAAGAGTGACTATTAATTACTGGTCATTGACATATACTGGTATTCATGGAAATATGTTTTTTTTATTTTATGCTTCATTGATGTCAATTGTTGATGTAATAAGAGAATATATTTTATGGTATACAAATATTTGTTCTAAGTAATTTGTACTTGATTTCCTCTTGTCACTTTCTCCAGTTGTTACTGCAACAGCGATACTGTATTCATCCAAAACAAATTGTGTACCTCCATTTTAAAATCTTTGTACTTTCAATAATGGAATCAACAATATTGTGCCAACTACCTTTAAGCTCTTTTTCACGGTCTCAATTTTTTATCATCTTGGCTTTCAGAGGCCATGCTTTCCATTCCATCGCATGTCCTCGCAGCAGACAAGGATCACACAGCACAAATACATCTTCTCCTTTGCAATTGTGCTTGACCTCATTCCAAACAGTGCATTTTGACTATTTTTTTTTATTGCAGACATCTCATTTTCTGCTGATGATATTATTAACTGACTCAGATGCATCACAATTTACTTTCTCTAACTGGGCATTTACAGCAATCACCTTGGAAGAGACTTCTTTAAATATCACTTCAAATTTTCTTTGTAAAACAGATCATCATCTATTCTGATTGATAATCCAGTTTTTCATTGTTTGCCAGTGATCTTGGGTCAATCCAGCAAAAGCGCACATGTAATGTACAATAAATATTATTTCTCACTAAACAGCTTCTGCAATAAATGTAACGTTCTTTATCTTGCAAGCTTAAGTAATGTGTATGGTATAGCACTGTTTCTACAATACTGTACTATAAACATGCATGCAGTCTGTTTGTGAGTTTGTCTTTTCAACTTTATTCTTAACATTTTTATAAACACATTCAAAACACCAAAAACATATGCCCAACACCCAAAAAACAAATTGAGATAAAATACCGTGCAGAATTAAGCTACTATAAAAACATAATCGATGTTCCACTGTATTCATTTTAATCTCTCATTCCTTGACGTTGGTGTATTTGTTTTTTTAGAAAATGTAACCAGAGCTTTAGAAAGTACAGAGATGCCACAGTTAAACTGGACAGCAATAACATTATTAAAATACTAAAAAAATTCAGTGAGCTCAGGAAATATAGTGTTCCTTTATTACAAACTATAAATATTTACATTTGTTTTTTTTAGTTAACATCCTTCCAAATACCCTAATAACAGAATAAATGTCAGGCACCACAGGAAATATAAAACATGATATGTGTCTCCTTCACATTCCACAACCAAGGGCAATTCAACATTAACTACTGAAATGAAAGTCAGGACACAGATTGAAATATTAATAATACTACTTTCTTTCTTTGCCTCAGTGTTTACTGTACATGTTGAAATTTAAAGCAGGTATAATTAAACATGAAAATCACCCTTTCATAAACTTTGCAAATTAAAATGCATCTTTAAATGAGATACAATTCTTAAGAAGTAACGCTACCCATAAAATGGTAAAGCCCACACAAAAACCTGTGGTATTATTTGTTGTTGCTTAAAACATCTATTAAAATACAGCCCATGAATTCATGGCAGTGTGCCTCTTTAAAAGTTTAAAAAAAAAACAAAGTACAGTGGTTAAAAATTCTTCCAGTTAAAGACCGCTAATTACTGCATAAATCTTCTTTTACATTACTTTTTGCACTAGAGTATAAGTAACTTACCATTAACTAAGACATCCACAAAATTCAAAACGTAATTTTTATAAAAAAACAATTTTTCAAGTTCTTATATTTTATCTAGTAAACTTAGTAATAGCAACATGTGTAATAGCAGCTGGTGTAATTGTTGCTATTATAAAGTAATGTAGATAAATATTACATTTACTCTTTCTGAAAATACAATCTCTATAAACTGCAGAACAAGGAGTCCTGCTCCCACATTTAAAAGCCAATCCAAGCATGAGGAACATTTACAAGACAATTTTTAGATATAAAACTAGAATGCTATGGGCAACAATGACTTTGGTATTGACCTGTCCTTAATTTATGTCAGCATGATAACCTATAGGAAAGTTTTCTAAAAGTTTTTTATCCATATCCATCCTAAGCTTATCCATTGCTTAGAATCACAAAATAATATTTACTGCAGATTGCCACACAGAAAAACATTTTTTGAAAATATGAAGATGAATCAAATATTCCCAGAGTACATATAGTAAACTGAATAACAGTATACTGTACACTCTAAGATTTAGAATCTACACTGCTATGCTGTATACTTATAGTACATAGTAAAATTTACAAATTGCACAATTCTGAATACTATGCTTCAAAATCCCATATGCAAACAAGCAACAATTGAGATTAAACTGGCAAGAGACTAAACACATTACTTTTATGAGCAGAAAACCTGTTGCAAGCACCCAGAGCAAAAAATGGTAATCTTGTGGCAAAAGTTTCCCCTTTAATTTTTTCCCTGACATATTAAGGACAAAAATAAATGTATTAAACTGTATAATACTTATCCTGATTTCTGTTTTCATACTGGGAAGAAGCCAAGTTAAATGAAGTTGTATTTTTGGCTATAGTTTTTAACAGGATTTCTCCCTCCTGTGCATATTTCCACTTGAACGGTGAAAGGTGTGTGGGATATTGATTCAGTCTTGAAGAAAGTGCAACACATTGCTTCTGAGATCTCTAGTTTGCAACATAAAACTCGATAACCTTTGAACACCGTAAACAAATAGTTAAACGCACGGTCCTTGAAATATTATAAATAAAATAACTTAGCAAGTTCACATTCATTCTATTCACATTTGGAGTTTAGTTTTTGCTTAAAGCTCTCTTCAGAAGTTCCAAGTCTTTCCTTCTGGGCGAGTCAGTTTTGGCGCAGGAGTAGTCCTCCAGCTGGAGGGGAATGTATTTCTCCAGTAGCCCCAGCTTCTCTCCTTTCAGACCCGTAAAAAGCTGAGCCCAAGAGGTTCTGACTGGTCCCCGGAACCCAAAGAAGGCCAAGCTTTCTGAAGAGAAAAATCCGGGTACATGTTCAGTAATTCACCTCTCCCCTACACAGTTTCCTCTGCAGTGCAGAAACAGGCCAACAAAAGGACTACCGAAAGTACTTCACGTTGAAAGGTGTCCGAGTCAAATCAAATGGCAGAGTTAAAACTATACAAGGCCCTAGTAAAGTCGCAATCTGCACATTTATTTTCAGTTATACTCTCTGAACTTAAAGAAAGATACTGCTGCTCTGGACAGACTACAAATCAGGCCAACCAGAACAACTCTTAACCTACAGGTCCACTGAACTAACTCTCTTCAGATCTGAAGGCAGTAAATTGGGGCTTAATTTGAGTATGATAAATTCTTAAAGTTTGAGTATGTAGGCAAACTAAGGCAAAGTGAACTGACTGGTCATCTCCAACCTCCACAATGAAACCGCAATCAAGGACACAAGTGAAAATAAAAAAAAATTAGAACTGAATACACTGTAGCAAATCTAGATACTTGGACTAGTAGTACTCTAGTTACGATGCTGAGAATGATTCTTCAAGAAATGGGTTCTCCGAGTAATAGCTTACTAGTACACTAAACAATGTTACCGATATTGGCCCATTTTCCAGCAAAGTATCAGTATTTTAAATTATATTTTATAAAATGCATTAAATAATTTATAAATCAACAAGTTATGGTGCTTATAAACAAACCTTTATTTTTCAGATCTGCCTCTTTGGCTGTTCCCAGTGTGACAAAATACCGAGCAATGCTGCCAAGCCCCTTCTGCACTGCTCGAGTTCCAAGAAGAACAACTGACCTAAGGGACGACAGAAGTGCACAAGATGACATAAGTGAGGTGAAGAATCACCAGAAACAGTGTAGCAACATGATCAGCAGCCACAGAATTCATATCAACATCATATCAATATCACTGGCACAGTGGCTAGCATTGCTGCCTCACAGATCTGGGGCCCCTGTATTCAGTTCTGGATCTTGGTGCTATCTGAGTGGAGTTCGTATGTTCTCCCTGTGTTTAATAGGCTTCTGGGAAAACTGGCACTGGTATGAGTGTGTGTGTTTGCGTCTGTGTGTGCCGTGTAATGGACTGTCATCCCATCCAGGGTGTATCCTGCCTCGCACCTGTTGCCTGCTGGGATAGGCTCCAGCTTTCTTGCAACCCTGTACTGGATGAAGAAAATGGATGGAAGGACAGAAGAAAGTTATGGAAACTGTTAACGTTTTTTCCTTTATTTTTGGCTTAACTTTTTAAAATTTAAAATCTGAACGTAGATAAAAAAATTTTTTATTCTACTTGTTAACTTTATGGGAAGCAACATACGACACTCGAAGACCTTGCTCTTACCTCTCAGGAATTCCAGTCTTCAAATACTGTTCCATTTTAGATTCCAGCTCGGGGAACACTGATTTCTTTGTCACTCGGCCAGTGCAAGCATCCACAGTAACCAGAAAAAATCCAGACTCTGTGAAGGGGAACTTTTCAGCATTTACCTTGAAAATAAAAATAATATGCATATGAGTTCAAGCAGACACCAACACATCTCAGAGGCCAGCTTCTTTGGATTCCCAGTTTTATTCGCTAGAATAAACACCAGAACCAAAATTCTCTACAGATTTACCAAAAGCTAAAGAAATAGGCTGATCCTGTGTACTGTAATATTTCATAGGATCAGAGAGGAGAATGCAGTGTTGTCCTTCTAAGGATGACAAGACTTAAATATTTCCATTTAGGGTACTTAGCAGACTCAGGTAGACTAGATAAAAATGTCTTTCTTGCTAAAGAAATTTGCAAAAGGATTAAGGATAGGATGTAATAATGAATTCCAGGAAGGAAACCAATTTTCTCCATCTTGCATAATCTTGAAAAAAAAAGAGACAACTGTAATATTGCTCACGGTGATGAAAGATTCTTCATTGCCGTTTTGTAGCTCTTCACTGCTGATGGACTTAATCTGAGCCTGGAGGTAGATTTTGTGAGGATCACTTGTGAAGACCAACTGAAACAAAACCATTTGTTAAAGTTCAGGGGTGTAAAACTGAATAATTGAACAATTCACAGTACATACATTGGACTACTGAAACCTGATTATCAATACCTATTAGGGTAAAAACAGTGGTTCATTGTTAATTAAAAATAAAAGAAATCCAGAAATAGTTCTGTGTTTATGCTGTGAACCCACAAAAAACATGAAGCTAATGAGTAGTAACAATATAAACCTCATGTGTGTTAGTATTGAATATCACTATCAATTTGTGACAATTTCAGTTGACACACATGAAGTATTTTTACTCCAGCCGAAAGAAAAAAATGATTTACCATAGAAGCTCCACAGTTTTTGCACGGTGTTGTGGTAGGTGGTGGCATTGGAATAAGAGCCTTTGGGGGTTTCGGATTATTTGAGTAAGCTTTTGCCATGCAGTTGCTGATCTCTTTCGAGGTTGTCGTGGCGATGATCTTCAGTCGCTCACAGCCCACGCGGGAGCAGTAACTGTGACCGTCTCTGCTGTGTCTGGCATACAGGAACAACCACAAAAGCCTAGAAACAAAAAAAGTACAATTAGCCATTAAAATATGCAAAAGACTGTCAACTGTCTGAACTGAAGCTTTTTTAGAATGTTCCACTGCTGAAGAAATAACACTGCATGTCTCTCTTATAAAAACAGCTGTCGGAATTACACGGTTTGTTGGACAGGTGATTGCTGTATTACTTTCAGAAGCAAACATTTTGGTTCAGTACTTTGAGCCGTCTTCTCTGCACAGGAATTCCAGACGTTAAACTGGATGTGCTTTCACTACTTTGAAAAGCCACTAATGTTTCTCGTTGCACGTGTTAGCTATTGTAAGGGGGTTCAGAAGAACTGGCTTTCGGATGCAACACGTTTGCAACATCACATTTGCATTTTAATAAAATCTTATTTAGAGAGGAATATTAGACTTAAATCAGTGCTTTTACAAATGCTTTCAATGGAAATGCATCTATATAAAAGCAGATGGAGGATATAGTGGCTCTACGGGGGATACTCTATACTAATATTTTATCTCAGCTACTCTGAAACTGATGCCCCTTGTAGCTGCAGGCAATCTCCCCTCTCAGGCAGAGGGCTTCAAACACCTGTCAGGACCTGAACTAAATGAGATAAGAAAGCAATGTGAAAACCTGCTCTATCAGTTGTTGGTTCTTATAATCCAGAAGTCTGAAAGATTAGAGAAGTGTAGTACAGCATCAGCATAACATACAGTACACTGCTGTGCATTTTCTCTGGAAGAGATTAATACATTTCCATAAAGTGACTTTTGCTGATCCTTTCATTTGATGGCTGAGTACTGTCCTATTTAAAGGTGTCTCAGTTGGCAACCAGTCTGTATGATCCCGAGTCTGGTAATTCATACCCTCCTTGATTTTTTTCATCAGGATTTTAAAGACTTACATGTTCTTAATTAGCATGCAACACAGTGAATGATAATCTTTTTAGTCACACACTTCGCACACCATGGGCCTTGTTTTTAAAACTTCATGCCACAGATTTAAGCCAGCACAACGTAAATGCAGCAAAAAATAAAAACGTGATTTTCAAAAGCCAACCTACATGTCTTGTTTGAGATGCAAATCTCACCAACTACATGTGCATTGCAATATTACGACAAGCCTAGGCTTTAAATCCACATGATTGCTACTGGCCTTCCTGCTTAAGTATATATTAAGCTGTATCCTTTCCAAGTTTATTACATTCCACAGCACAAAACCATTTCCATAAAATTTCTATTACGTCTGCCAGTTTAAATGTTTACAAGTCTGCCTATTAAATGTAAAGCTGAGACCATTCTGTTCACAGCCTACAAACACGTGGAACTGACAAAAATATGAACATGCGGTTTCTAGGAATACGTTTGCGCTTTAAAGTTGGTGGGCAAGATAAATGGCATTTAGGTGAGACTGACAACATGGCGTTGGGACTATACTGGCAGAAGAAGGAATTTGTGATTGCACCGAGCAGGAAACAGTTTTGTTTCAGAGACGCCGCTAAAGGAACAAAATGGAAAATGTGCACAGCAGTTTTGGTGATACAAAAATATTTTTTGTTCTTGGATTTCTCAGTACTAGATAAAATTTCCCATTATCTGGGAAGTACATACTGTAGTTTTTTTAATTATTTCCTTTTAGTTGTTGAACTTTAAAAGTACTGTCTGGGTGTGCGTTGCTACAAATACTTTACATTTTCCATTTCAGGAAAGCAAGATGTAAAACAAGGGTCTTGGGTAAAAAAATAACTTGCTGCAATGAATTAGAACAAATCAAAAGAACCAGTACATAGATTATGTTATATGAATAATCAGTGTGGTAAATCACAAATTGGAATGGAGTGTTTACAACATTTAAGTTCAGAAATATATGGGAAAAATATTTTACACTTATAAAGGTCACACTGCATTTTGTCTGAATACAGCACAGCCGTGAAGAGATGCTGTATCATGGAAATTCACCTATATACCTACATGTGTACTGCAGCTTACATCTTTCAAAAATGGAAGTCATTTTTTAAGTCATTATCCCTCAGGCTGGTATTGGATACTCATCCTTATTGTTCTTTTTAGATGAGCTTCCAGTGACATGAGTGCTTGCAATGACCTCTAGAAACCCAATTCAAACACTGCTGTTTATAACTGAAAATGCTGCAATATCAAAAGTAAATGGTAAGCCCTGTCAAAATTATTTTCTGATTCATGCCCTGCATATACTGTATGTTAAAGACAGCTCTATGAACACTTATCCAGGGGACCACTATGATTCCAAATTAGGGAGGGAGTTAAACCCAGTTGTTGCAATGAACTATGGATTTGAATGATGAATGAATGATCTTAACACAATGCTACAGGAGAGGGAATGATTTTATGGCTTCTCAATCCACGCTTTTGAGCATAAACAGTAAGTCAAAGTTAGCAGACACAAAGTTAGTTGTACATGCCTCCTACCCTTGAATTACATACAAAAAAGCATACATACATTATTCATACTCATTTTTTTACATATTCATTTTTAGAACTGAGACACAAGACACAACATCCAACTCATTCATATGAGTAACTCAACTCATATGTTGTTTTTCATTTCTATTGCATTGGAGGATACATAAATATGAAGGGCATTGTATTTGATGTGATTTCAAGATGCATTTCTCCTTTCTAGGTTAAATTATCTTTCATATACTTTAAAAGGAAACATCATTCTTTTGCCCTAATGAATGACTTGCTAACTTTATAATCTCTGGATGATTATATCAAGATGAATAAGAAGAATATTTTTGAACTGAAGAGAATTATGTGAATGTCACTAAATACCACTCAGCATACCGCGAAATACCACAAAACTCACCCAGTGCTCTTGTCAAAAAAGTACTTCCTGTCCAATTGTCTTTTCTGTAACTCCTCCAGGGAACTGACAGGTCCATAGTCCTCTATATTGTCAAAGGTGTTGTTCTGCCTGTCGTTGATGTCGGACACAATTTGAAATGTAGTGTCTGTAGGGTAGCAAAGGCCAACCTGAATCCAGTCACCTCTGTTCAATTACAAAAAAGTGTTAAACACAGTGTGTCCAGGACAAAAAATAACATAACGTTCCTGATTTATATAAATATTCGACCCTACAGGTAACAGTGCAAACATACCTGCAAAGAAATTTCACAAGATGTCCATTCAATAGCAAACATATTAGATATGGAAGGATTTTGGAAAGGCCAGATAATATGAGACCTGAGAGATGGTCAATACGGTAGGTGCTGTTGTGTGACAGAATGTCACCATTGGTCAAATGGTCCTTCAGGATAAATAATTGACATAATTACTTATAATATGATATAATTCCATTGATCTCAGCATATAAAGATTGTGTAAAGTTTGTGGTTTCCAACCTGCACTACATCACTGGTTTTCACAAACAGTTTTTGATTTTTTTTTATGGTCATATGAGTGCACTTATTTCAGAGAATGTGATAATTCCGGTTCACTGTGTAGACTCTATTACTGTCCATCTCCAGGCTAGGAATCTCCAAACCCTGCCTTTGGCAGCTGAGTGGGTCTGTACAAGACCAATGGACAGGCCCTGGATATCTCAGGTGCAGGTACAGGTGGCCAACTGTGCTATCAAGTCTGTCACTTTTAGTTTTGTGGCTACAACTGATTAGCAGCTACACCTTAAACTTTAAACTTGGAAATACCACACACTAACATGCTGCAAATTTTGCCAATTCAAAAACAAACCTCTAACTGATTGAACTGAACTCATACACATATCTTTTGCTTGTCATAGTTCATAATACTACCTTAGCCTACCCAGATTATACTGTACATTTAATAAAAACACACAAACAGAAAGTATAAGAATAGCATACAGTACTTTTCTTGTCTGCTTTAATGTGACACCTTCGAGTGTCTAGCCCCCAAAACATATTTTAAAAAATGTATAATCTTTTTTATGGAGTTCTAATGTTTGGAATCTCAATATCGAGTTAATAATAAATAAAAACACATTCCAAAGAGGCCAGCAGCCATATCACCCTGCAGCTCTCAACTGTCTCCCACTGAAGCTCAGCGGGGTTGAGCCTGGTCAGTACCTGGATGAGAGACCTCCTGGGAATCTATGGTTGCTGCTGGAAGTGGTGTTAGTGGGACCAGCGGGGGATTCGCATCCTGCAGTCTGTGTGGGTCCTAATGGCAGGGACACTATACTGTAGTGGGTACTGTTCCGAATGAGACGTTAAACCGAGGTCCTGACTCTCTGTGGTCATTAAAGACCACCAGCATTTCTCAATAAGAGTGGGGCGTTATCCTGTTGTCCAGGCCAAATTTCCCCCCTCAGCCCTTACTGTGGCCTCCAAATTGTCCCCATGTATGATTGGCTTGCTCTTGCCCTGCGATGGACTGGCGCCCATCCAGGCTGTACCCTGCTGTGCGCTCGTTGCTTGACGGGTAGGCTCCGGCTTCCCACAGCACCGTATGGTATAAAGCAGTTCGGCAAAAGACATGACATTCCAAAGAAGGATATGCTATTTCCCTGGTTATTGCTGCTCGAGCTAAGGTTGCTGCTGGAAGAGGTGTTAGTGGGGCCAGTAGGAGGAGCTCACCCTGTAGTAAGTGCGGGTCCTAATGCCCCAGTATAGTGACGGAGACACTGTACTGTAAAATATGTTATCCTTTGGATGAGACGTAAAACTGAGATCCTGACTCTCTGTGATCATTAAAAATCCCAGGCTGTTTCTCAAAAAGAGTAGGGCTGTGCCCTGATCAAATTACCCATTGCCCTTTCCCAATCATAGCCTCCTATGTGGGGGCAACACATTGGTGGTGGTGGAGGGGAGTCCCTATGACCTGTAAAGAGCTTTGAGTGGAGTATCCAAAAGAGCGCTATATAAGTATAATAATAATACTACTGATCATAAAAAAGTTAAACAACATTATATTTGGCAGTAGGCAAACTTACTTGTCAAAATTAATGAGATACAGCACTGTGTCTCTGGGCGCCTTGCCATTCCAGTGAACGGTGTAGCTCTTGCCGATCATGACCACTGGCTGGTACTGCTGGAAGGCAGCTCGCTGGCTGTTGATTCCCTTCAGCACCATAGAATTGTTGGGGTACTCATCCCTGGACATGGACATGCTTAAATTCTGAGAGCCCCATGTCTGAATGAAGACCTGGGAGGAGTATTGAGAGGAGGATTCTTGACACAATCCAACTGATTTCTGTCATGCATGATAAACCTAAGCCACGTCACCATTCAGCTATTTTCTTTGGTTTCATGCCATGTGTATCTTCACATGCCTTAAATTATTCACTAAAAATCCTGCTAATGGAACGCTTTGGTAAGATACCTTTAAAGGTGCTATATAAAATAAGGTTCATGATGATGATGATGGAACAAGTGTTCCTTTTTTCAACTATCAAAAAAGTGCCACTTTAAAATACTATTTGTTACACAGCACGAGAAATACATTTGAGTGTAAAATCTTGAAATCCTCGTTGTTTCTTACAATATGTAGTACTGAAACAACAGGTCTTTCAGGCTATTATATTGCATTTTCAATGTTTTAAAATTAATTCAATTCACAAAACATTACCTGGGAATATCTGCCACTGCATATTACTCCATTCCACTGAGTGATGTTAATGCACTCTGGATGTCGAATCAGAGAGTTGTCCATTCTGCCCACGTAAGTATCTGGATATCCCGTTACAGATCCATCCACATCATGGAATATTGAGTTCTTGTCTCCATCCAGTTCGTTTTCTTCAAACCAAGGACCCGGTTTCCCAAAGAAAACCTTTAAGGACACCTGTTGAGCAATTTTAAAACTATTATTGTTCATGCAAAAACAAATACTCAAAGCATTTTGGAAATTTATTTTTGTTGCAATCAGGATTTCAAATAATTACACTTTTTGAATTAAAAGGAACTTGCTTTCAATTCCTAGTGAGAGGAAGAGCTTGATAAAAAGGAGACTCCACTGTTTTACTTTCAGGAATTTTTTTTATTGCCATGATTATTAATTTATTAATAACAGCTCAATGCAGACAACTTAACCAGTCAAAAGTCATGCTACTAAATTAATTAAAGATTTTACTTTGAACCTTAAAGTGCACTAAGAAATCCAGCAGAAGATGCTTTCAAATAAGTCATAAACAGCCAGTAGAGGGAAGCAGAATTCATGTCCAAAAAATTTGGAAAACACACACATGCCATCATTTTTTACATTCTGTAATGTACTTCCTCAGAAGAAAAGGACTGCCACAAAAGAAAAGCACTGTCCACAAAAGATAGAGATTCCACACAAGTTGTGCACAAGGAAACAAACAACAAGCCTGAAACAACTCCTGTTCTTTCTGTAGAACAGATTAACCACAAAAAAAACATTCAGAACAGATTGTTTAGAAGAGAGCCAAAAGATCATGTCCAGCAATCAGATCTGGTACATATAAGATGACAAGATATTGCTCAGTGGGTATGAGAAATAATCAAGTCTTTCATTTCACTGCTGAACAATATGCTTGGTTCATTTCTGTGAAAATGTATTACTTTTTCACAATGAAATTGAAACAGTAAAACTATTTTCTAAGGAGAAAGATAAAAAAGCAGAACATTCAATATGAGTTCTTTCAGATACACATTCAGTTACTTTTTATAGAGGCAGATCACATTTTCTGAAAAAAGGCAGAAAGCAGTTCCACTGTATGTTAAATGGAACATATTATTTTTGCATTTTTCCATTAGCATGACGAATTTGTACATCTCTGGTATTAATATATATATATTTAATAAATTCATAACTTATGGGAAATACATGTAAGAAAAAAAATCTTACTGTTACAAATAATGAATAAGACTTTTCTTCTTTTGAATCAGCTTCACTAATTAAAAGGTACCCAGACACTTAATCATGAACAGGAAATCCTGTAATTGTACACCCCAAATGCTTAGATATTACAGAAATAGGAAATACATACACTGTCTTCAAACCTGACAGATGAGATGTTGTTCTTAGGTGTTAGCTGCCAAGGGTTCTTCAGAAAGAAGCCGACTGAACTTGTGAATCTGTCAGCAGTAGGGACATAGCTCTTAAAGGTACTCTTGCTGAGGCGAACCGGACCGTCGTAGATCTGAAACCCTCGAATTGGGAAGGTTCTGCAAAAAAAGTTACTCACTACTTGTTTTCCTGTACTTCTTGACCAAGTGCATCATTTTCTGCATTTAATTCCCATTAGCCACAATTCCTTCAACCTGAAATGGACTACTGTGGACCTTATATAGTGAAGTAGAAACTGACTACGTATAGTCCAATTAAACATTGTTTTCGAAAGAACATATATTTTAATCTACATTATTCAGATTAAGTTCAGATTTCCTCCTTTTTCCTGCTAAAACACAGGCATCCTGTTCATTTCAAACATTTATAAGTTTCCACTCTTAAGGAAACTCTAATTAGCAAATGATTTTCTGTCATATCATGATTAAGGCCCTTGTGCAAGAAATACATCGTAACTAAGAGATGTTTAGAAAGAACACAAAAGCCTTCTAGGAAGGTTCAGCAAAACAAGACAAAAGGGAACACCACTTATGTTATAGCCTCACTGAAATGATGTTTAACAGCAGTGGAGAATTACAGTTAATTGGAAACAGTTTACAGTCTATGAAAAGGAGCTCATTGGCTGCATTTCTTAAACTAATTGTAGATTAGTTGACATAACTCCATCTTTTTTTAAATACTGAGAAATGGTCTTTTTTAAAAGTGCCTTAATGCCTTGCATTTATTGTGGATAAAATCGTTAAAAGGTTACAAGGATGTTTCAAATGAACACAGCTGCCGGAGTTAATTCCAGTGCCCAAGAGGACCCTTCTAATTACTTGAGCCTTGTTCAGACTGAAAAGATAAGTGTAGAAGCTGTCACTTCCCTCGACCAATTTTCTGTGTTTTACTCCTTTCTCCTTACCTGTTCCTTGGCAGAGTTCTGTTTCTGTTTTCACTCCCTCCTGCTCCCCAGTACTTGTTTTGCCCACCATTGAAACCATAGTTTTTGCTTTCACCAACAAATAGGGATTCCGATACTTCCTGACTGGACCCTTCATCTTTAGGGAAGCTTCCATCACTGAAACAAACAGAATAAAAAATGAGATACATATATTGCATCTAAAGCACTTATTCTGGAGTTAATCATTTAATCATTTTGAATGTATTTTTTTATTTATACCTCCTGATAAAGTTGACAACAGTGATAAAGCACATTACATTCGACAGGACTTACTATAGTCAATGATATGAGTTAGCCAAAATTATGTGTCAGAAGTAAAACACAGAATTAGAGAACTATCAGTGCCAAAAAAAATTAAATAAAAAGCAACTGATTAGTAAACAGACTGTTTCCTTTATAGGAAATATTTAAATAAAGGAAATACTTATTTTCTTGAATGGAAAAAATGTAATACACACACACATACATACCTTGCAAATGATAGTCCAATACCATTATCAGCAAAACTGCAAATGTAAAACACAGATTCATGAAAAAGGCCAAAAGCATATTTCCAGTAAGTGGTTATTTAAAAAAAAATAAAACAGTATTGAAGAAGTTGTCAATCATAATTAGCCAAAGGCATGTTTAAAATGCAAACATTTGAAATCTCCACATCTTGGAATGAGAGGAAAGAACATATTTATTGAAATATAAAACTGAAACTTATTCTAGTGAAGAACATGCTGCTGTTTTCTGTTATGCTGTTATGAATTATGTTTTAAAAACATATGAACAGTTTCAAACAACAGGAGTCTGTTTGGCTCATCTAACCTATTTGGTCGTTAGTAATTAATTGTTACAAGGATCTCTTCCAGCTGTGACTTGAATGAAAGCAGGTATCGTCTTCAATAACATGGGTGGGTAGCCTGTTTCACACTTCAACAGCCCCTTGAATAGAGCAGTGCCTCCTGTTCTTAGTTATTAAATGGAATGTTTAGTCTTTTTTTCTACATATCTACATATACTACATATCTTCCTTGTTCCTTGCACAACAACAACAATTAATATTAATGATAAAATTCAAGGTGTGCCCTTTTGAGCTGCAATGGACTAATTAATTAAATCTGCTTCTTTTTAACATTCACTAATTAGCTGCTGCTGCTAATCATTTAGAACAGAAAATTTCAATCACAAGGATGATGAAAACACCCACAGAGATGTGGGTGAGACAGGAGATAAGGCCATTGAACCCACGATTTATACGAGTCAGAATCAAAGTCAAGGCTGGGTAGTTTGTCAAACATCTGTTTATCTATGTGTAAAAATGTGCTCTTACATAAACTAGAACTGTTTACATGCATTCACAATCTGGTGTCACATTCTTTTGAATAACAATCCTATTATTTCCTGTGTCTTAAACAGTGGTCCTAGCAAATACTTTCAAAGCTGTATTGTGCATACATATACAATATATCAGTCATATATGTGATTTTCACATTAGTATATGAAGTTTTTTTTTAATTAATAAAAAACATAGCAAATACAGTATTTAGACAGGTAGAGTTACTAAGGGCATACTCAAATCCCTGTCTTTAAGTAGGATTATGAATGTATTAGTGATACTAGTCTCAGACTAGTAGCTTAAATGAAAAGACTCATTACATAAAACTATGGAAATCTGTAATTGATCAGCATTTGCGGTTCAGATATTTGAAAAACAGCTGGAGTTAAGAAAGGCTTTGGAAATATGTCTCTCTAGAGGAGAGAATATATTCTCACTTAAGACCTTCAGACAGCTTAAAAAAAATCAACCTTTTATGAGGAAAACAATCCTAAAATGTCTTCAATGCAGAACTAGATTAGTATGAAACAATTAAGTAATGGATTTGGACCAAATAAACAATATTGTGGTATGAAATATGAGCTTCTGGCTGCCTACAGAAGAAAAAAAAACACAAAGGAGCATATACAAGTATCCTGATTTTTGAAAGCCTACTTGGCAGTAAGTGGAATTTTCCATGCTTCCAACACAGAACCAAGCAGTTTTACAGCAAAGCTGCCTGCACATTCTCCGATTGTAACATGAATCAGCAAAGGCAACAAAACTAGCACCATGCAAACCATCTGAAATTAATTCCTGCTCACTGGATGTTTTTCTCCAACATCTTTACTGCAAGAGTTAATGTTACCAAGCCACATAGCTTTCATTTTTAACGAGGTATTAAAAGAGACCCTAGTGTGTTCTAACACTTCACATTTAAGAATAGACTCCATTTCCAGCCTATTCGCCCATGGAGCAAAACTACATACTACACAGAAATGGATCAAAATCAACAAGAAAATCATTGATGTTCCTTCCACAGCTCATCTTACGTTTCGGATTTTTTTCTAATAAACTGACAACAGTGTGATCAGCCACTTCCATCGCACCTCCTCAGAAACATCGACGTCAAGGCTGATCCAGCTAGAACGTGCCCTACCCTGAGTTTTGAACAACAATGTCCCCTCCTCTGATCCACGCTCCCAGGTCGTTGTTCTTGAAAGATATTAGACGGTCAATGACAGCAGCAACACGTGGCTTCTTTGGATCTCTGCCCTCGTGCGGACGGAACCTGGAACACAACTCGGAGGGTTTATCTGAGGAAACCAGGCCCAGTCTTTGACACCCTGGCACTGGTTTTGAAATAAGGTCTCACAATCTCCTAGTTGTACTTTCTTATTTCAGTATGTTTGCTCACTAAAATAAACAAACAAACAAACAGACAAACATCATTTTTAAAAAGAGCTTTTCAAAGGAGTTGAGGCTCTTTCAGGGGTTTCCAATTGTATGTTTGCCACTTAAAGAAGAAAGTCTGCTTAGTAAAACAAATCAATGCAAAAACACAGAGAACGTAAATGCATACAACGATGAATAAAGGTTTGTGAATCCCTTAATATTTTCAAGTTTCATATTTTAAAATTAAATCTTGATCTAAGTCCTAATAATAAACAAACAAATTAAATATACTCTTTCAACATTTATTCTCTTAGTGACACAACATTCAATATCCACGTGTGACACAGTACACGAACCTTTAGATTTAGTAACTGATGGCACTCCCTTGAGCAGCAAACACTGTAACTAAATGTTTCCTATAACCGTTGAGCAGTTTCTCACATTGGTTTTGAGGGATTTTGACCCATTCTTTCTTACAGAGCTCCTTCAACTCTGTGATATTTGAAGGCTACCTTGCATGGACAGCTCGCTTTTGGTACTGCTACAATATTTCGACAGGGTTTTTTATCACAGATAAATGGCCTGACAATCTCCTTTAGCATCTTCTGATACAGTGCAGAACCCATAGTTGTGTCAACGATGGCAAGCCGCTATGCTTGACGGTTGGGATGAGATGCTTGTATTCAAAAGCAGCGTTTGGTTTTCGACAACCATATTTCTCACTGGGGCCAAAGAGTTCTACCTTCTACTCCTCTGTCTTGACAAAATAGTTCCAGAAGCCTTGTGGATCATTGATGTGCTCTTTAGAGAACTTCAGCCAGTGAAACAAGGTTATTTTTGGTTTTCTCCTTCTTGTCCTTCCATGAACGCCATTCTCGTTCAGTCATGTTCTCATGATGGGGTCATGTACAGTAGCGTTAGCCAAGGTGAGACTGGCCTGCAGGCCCTACTCCAGAGTTCTCTGATACTTCCCTGATACTTTTCCAGTTTGTTCATGGAGAGACTTTGGTAGGATGACACTTCTGGGTAGAATGACTATGGTTTTGAGCTTTCTCCATTTGTAGATTATCTGTCTGACAATTCCCCAAATCCTAAAAATGATTTTGTAACTCTGTCCAGATGACAGCTAGAAAATAACTTTTTCTGAGGCCTTCGGTAAGATCCTTTTCTCTATGGTAAACACTAAGCTCGCAACATTTCTTATCTTTACATAGGGTGGGGCTTTCCAAACCCGGCCTCAAGGCCACACATACCCTGTACCTTGATTACACATTGTTTAGTTCGTTTTGTTTCTAGAGACATAGAATTGGTTACTATAAACCCAAATGGATATTTACATAAACACTGGTTTTGATTCAAGAAGGTTGCTGTGGAAAAAAATATGAAATTTCCATATTTATCTTTAGGCTTCACTAACTTATTTCTCTACATTATATACATCTAAAAGGAATTGATGGTTGAGTTACACAAAGTCTCTTAATTCCCTGGCACTATGCTGATGTGGTGTGACTTAGGCCACACTTCAACATGTTCTTTCTTGGCATACTTTGTCAATAAAAGTTAACTAATCTCTCACTGTACCTATAGTTTAATACCCTTTAGTCTCCCCAGTGAAGAGAAATAGTTCATTATTGGAATTCACTTGTCACTGAATCTGTTAGTAAGGTACAAGTGCTTCTGACACATCAGACAGACTTTCCACGTGTGCAGTGCAGAGTGTGGTAACCTTTCAACTCCAACTGCTGGCACCTTTGACTTTTACAATGTCTTGCTGTAGAAAATGACATTTAGTAGAATCAAACATTTCTTAACCTTTATTTATTTTATTAGCTGCCACTGTAACAATGATAAAGATGAGGTTCTCAGAACATCCCAGATGGAAAAACCGATAACTCTAAACTGTATTGATTTCTCTGTCTCAGAAGTCTTTCATAAGTCCTTTTCTTGTGCTCATCAAATTTATTAGGTAATTCTTCAACAAAAAAAATTGCAGGCATGGTCTGTAATATACTGAGATGCATTTAAAGCCACAAATGTTATTGGTTCGAATACTCTTGTTGTATACGTAATGTACTTCAGTGTACAAACACATGAAGAGAATAACAGTGGCAAACCAAGGGGGAATTACTGTTAAAAAAATGGTGATCCACCACACACCACGGCTGATTCGTATTGTGCTTCCATGGGTTCTGGACAGATCTTTGACATGAAACTTTGGTTGAATCTCGCTCAAGTTCCTACCTGGCACTGTTGTCCAAGCAAAGATACTCTCTGGGGTCCGCGGCGCTTGCATTTGTGGTTTTCACTCCCTTGTCAATGAAAAGACCTGCCTGAAATAAGAAACCAAGCACACAAAAACAGAAATGAAGACCACGAATTTGGGTGCGGCAGAAAAAATACTGTTTTAAGTTCAGTTGCCTGCTACATGTTTCAGTGTGCTACATTAGTCTCAAATTACATCACATTACATTTTAGCTCTGGTCAGTAATGGCACAGCTGGGAGAGGTCCTAGACTCCCTTAAAATAAGCTTCCTTGAACCTCATGTAACTCCATTCACATCCTCAGCACAAATGTCTCTTTCTTTTTTTTTTATTGCTGCTTGTTTTTATTTTTTGTCTTGGTTTTCTGTCTTCCAGGGCTGTACAGTATTTAAGAAAGGACTGGCTACCATATATATCAAATACAGGACAGATTACTCAGGGCAAATCCTCTCCAAATATAACTATATTAACTCTTCACATAATTAACAACAGATTAGCTTGCATCATCTTTATAAACTTGACTTCTTAAACTCTGAATGGGTCAAAAAATATAATTTTAGCGTAAAGTCAGAGTAATTATCTGCAAACACTGTTATTATGTAACAGAAATTTGTGTTCAAATCTATTTGCTATATTGCAGTCTCAGATAATAATGGTTGTAATCTTTCTGAAGATTAATATATTTCAATTTATTCAATACATGGAATGCTACTGTCATGACAACACCAACGTTTGAAAGAAAGACATCCAGTTTCAGAGCCAATTGTTACATACTACATATCTTCATACTACATATCTTGGAAGTTTTCAGAATATATATTTTCAGAAATATATTAGATGCTTTTTAAACTTGAGTGTCAGACTTAACAATAGATTTTGTGGGAAGAATAGGAATTTTTCTCATTTCCATCCAAGAATATCTAAATAATGTGCTGTAAAACTATTAGCTGTGCTTAATTTAGTATTTTATTTCTAACTGAATAATAGAGTAAAATCAAAATAAAAAACAAATTATGACTACAACTGCAAAATCTTTAAAAAAATGCAAACTCCTTTCACCTAGAAGGTGAAAAACAAAACAAATCACGTTGCTGTTAATGCAAATGTCAATTAAAAAAAGCTTGTTAGCTTTATGGTGTGAATGAATGTTGTCTTTTTTTCTTTACTTCAACACAGACATGCAATTTGCTTGCCTTGAAATTGGAATGCACTCGGTTGTTATAGAATATCCCCAATGGAGTCAGCTCTGCCTTAGTTTCTGGAACCAGTCCATGTGTGTCTCCTGTCGACATGCTGTGAAACACATACCAGATCCCAGCGTCCTGGTGGTTCAGACACAACTGTGTTATTGTAAGCAACTGATTCACAACATTCAGGCTTCTACCACTACCTACAACAATGACAGTGCTGCAAAGCAAAACACAAGAATCAAAGATGGTAAGAAGAAAGATTTAATTTAGTTTAGAAGAAATCTTAAATGTATTTTACAGTGCAGTTATGTTTGGCTTTCCAAACCAATAGGATCTTTTTTTTTTAACCTTTTGAAAGCTTTTTTGTGACTTTAGGCCACGATAAGCTATCGATGTTCACTAAGAAAGGGTTTTAAAGAGTTCAGCCTTATGGTAGAAAAACTCAGTTTACATAGCTAATCCTTTAACATTCATTAATTCATATCTCTTTGTTTCCACTTGACTAGAGAACAAAAACAAGTCTGGACCACAAAATGAAATTCTTGCAAATACAATGCATACAACTCAAGGTGCTCTGATCCTCAAAGCATGGAACTTAACCGATGGAAAGAAATGCATAAATAACCCCTACAAAGGCTAGTTTTCTATTCACTTTATGCTAAGGCCCTCCAGTCTAAGCTTTTCAAGGATCATTTTTAAGTAGTGCAATAATAAATTCACCATCCTTTCAATACTAAATAGAATTATTAAAGAATATATAACACAAGGCCTGAATAAGTGTTGTATGCAACCTTTAAAAGCTAAGGCAAATAGGCGTGGGAGATACACCGTATATTTTTTTAAAAGTATGAAGCCCCTCGATATACATTCTACAACACAATCAAGGGCTGAAACTGTAAATTGTACCTCAGCTAAAAGAACTTTTATTTCCTAAAATCCACTCTTTGAAAAGCACAGCATCCAGTCTTAAAAATCAGATGTGTACCCTGGGCTGACAGAAAACAATTTTCTCACCTGGGAGCCTGCAGCAGCATTGCTGATCAAGTGATTGTTGGGATTAGCCACCCAGAAAGTAGCAACTGCCCTGCAGCAAAAGCAACAGCAGGGAGTAAAATAAAGGCCACAGAAGGAGATCTGGGCAGAATGCTTTCTATCTGTTAACTTTATGAAGAAAGGAGTCACACCAAGAATACAATCAGACAAAGATCAATACCCATATGGCTCCTTATTATGCTACGTTGCACTCAAAAATTCCATCTATAAAGTGAAACAACCTAAAAGTAATGTCAAATTAATCATCCTTATACAAGTTATCTTCAGAGGCACTGAAGAATGTAACTGTTTTGGAGCTCCTGTGATAAATGCACACTGTACAGCGCTGTTTATTTTGACTGTGCCCTTTAACAAGGTCACTCTATTGTAGGTGAATCTGTAAAAGAGCCAACCAGGTTGAAAAAAAGAAAGCCCTGTGTCGTGAATATGTTTGTCAAATTACTGTATATACATTGCATGGAACCGTATGGTATAAACTGGTTTGGCAAAGGACATGACATGACATGACATTCCATGGAAACTATTTCCTAATCTTACATTTGGCCTCATTAAACTCCATCGGTGCTGAAATATTCTTGTGTTGCCAAAACATGGCATTTTGACAGAAATGTGAATATTACAGATATTATTAATATTAATCAGATAATATTAATATTAAAGTATACATTTAATAATGAAACATCAGCACTTACTGATTTTAAAATAAACGGTTTTAAAAATACACAGGTAAAACACAACTGTTGCTACAAATGATAGCTGCCACAGCACCTCAAAGAAATGGCCAAACTGGTACAACAGTCAGACCTGTAAGAGGTAAGTGATATTAACCTGGTCCATTTCTTAATAACTTTTAGACTGTGAGAAAGTTTTGATTGTTTAATTACACATGGACCAGGAAAACATGAAGAATGACATGGCTACTACAGGGGAATTTCACATTCTTTTATATGAGAGCCTCTCGTTCTAATACACGAATGGCACTGTTTGACTGCTCCCACTTTCCAGCTAAGCAAATTTGTGGGATGTTTTCATTTTCTGGGCTATACGCTGAAAGAAAAAAAATGTTTTTTTTTAAATAAATTATATCTAATATACATCTATTTATAAATGAATGTGATGCAATTATAAATTATTATAATTTTATATTAAAAACAGACAGTCATTTTCGAATACACAGAACTGTAACAGATTTTCAATACATTCCAATTTCTTGCAAAACCATTTTTGAAAAGAACATTTGGAATCTTCCCATGTGTCTCAAAGTTCCCTCATGCAGCTATTAGGCGAGACTGATACCCTAAATAGGGCATAATGGACCCAGCACATATTTTGTCTGCTTGAAGGTACAATCTAGAAAAATGGCCCTCTCTCCAGCTAGAAGTAACACACTACAGTATCTGTTAAACGTACAATGTATGATTTGTGAGACCAGCTTTCAAGCGCGTATAAATCTCTCCATCAACTTTTAGGAAATTAATTAGGCAGTAAAAGAAACGAGCAACAAGTTACCCATGTGTCAGATAAGTGTATAAATCATCCCCACACTGAAAGAATAGAGGTTGATTTATCATCAAGGGCCAGGAACTGAAGTTGTGCATGACATCCGTTTCCCCCGTAAGTATACATACTTGCAGTCGGTTGCTGGCACAGGGGTATAGTTTCCATACACTTTGCTTCTAATGGAAGTGCACATGGTGTCGTTCCTGTCTGTGGGCAGGAGTGTGCCGGGCTTTGTCACCAGTCCTAGGTTATGGTACAGGGTGTTCCTTTGTTCAATTCCATCCTCCAGGAAAAAACAGTGTCCCAGCGTGTCATAGGCTACAGTGTCCTTTATCTGTGGGTAGAACAATTCGATCACTGACTTATGTTAAAAATCAGTACAAAACTCACATGCTGTGTTTGACTAACTGTGTTCACTGGGAAAATGTCTTTTCACCTCCCTAGCACAGGCGAGGTTAATAACAGCGGATGTTATTTGTTATCACCAGCAGTGCTAAACCTGACACCACTCACTAACAAAAACCAGACCACTAAATGGTTATTTTTCATTTCAGACTGTATTTTATTCATGAATGTTTACTGTGGTTGCCAATACTGTGTCCTAAACTTATCTTCTCTTTATTGTGTTTACTGTGCACCTTACTGCATTAGGTCCTTTCTGTAGCCTACAACTGAACCACTGCACATTGTAGAGCATTGTGTTATTTCTTTAGTTGCAACTTTGTATTGTCCCACTATACTGTATATAAAGTAATTGTATTATTATTTGAAATTTGGCTTAGCAAAAGGCATTATCTAAAATAATAAAAAAATTACGTTCCCATTTTTCACTTACAATCCTAACCTTAAAACATTTAAACATGTTAGTTTCAGGATCCAAAACATTAATGTATTTTATTCAAAAAATAAACTTTCAACTAATTGTCTGTTCACATGAAACTCTGAACAGGCAACAATAGGATTAAGATTCAGCTGACAAAGAGCCCACAAAGCAACAAAGGAAAAAAAAACATCACTACAATAGACACTTGACAAGCACTGTAGAGTTGTGGATGACAGCATATTCCCAAGAGTAGTAATGGGTTATCTCATGGGATACTGTTTACGGACAGCCCTTTTCAGAAGAAAAATTATTGTCCTTTAATGTGTCATACAAAGCCTGCTAGAATAAGAAATAATATATTTTGAGTGTCTCCAGAGGATATCAAATTATCGCAACCTATGACAAAAGCTCAGGGCTTCTCTTTGTTTGCAAGCTACCTTATCTTACTCAACTGGGAGATGGCTACTCAGCTACTGGCACAAACTAGATCGAAGAAGTTAAGAGCTTTATTACATCTGGAAAAAATAAAATCTACACCGTGTAGATCCCCTCAGAAGTTTTATTGAGCGTGGAAGTCATACTGGCTCTCCCCTGACTCTGCTAACTGGACTTACTTCTCCTTTTTTATCTTTTTATCTTTACTTCTGTTTTTCTTTCTTTTATGCAGTTCAAATCCTCTAAAGGTTCGAAGCACTCTTGAGGCTTTTTGTTTGTTTTACACCTGAAAATAAAGTTTGATACCGTTTTAGAAATTCTGCATGCGCGCTGTGTCTAAGGACTTTGCCCTGACGATCAGTTTGAGCAGTGGGTCGCATCGCGGTTTAAAAATATCCACGCGTCATTGAAGGAAACCGAAGAAGACGCACACTTACCAACAGGCCGTTGGTGGCGTGGATGGTAACACAGCGGGAAAACGAGTGGTGGATCGAAAGACCCTCGATGTACGTTGGGGGACTGTATCCCCCCTTCTCATCCACATCTCCACACAGGTGAAAGTGCACTGGGTAGCTGCCCATCACCTGCTGGCCCATGTTCTTCAGCTCGATGTGAGACAAATGCACAGACGTGAAATTCCCTAAAATCTGGAAAGGTGGTGGTGAGAGAAATCAGTAAAAATGTCGGAGTAGAGGTTAAATTTCCCAGCGGTAACCATATGTTGAATGTTGTTTTTATCAAGAGCCTTGTTTTTCCATTTTCAATTCGGCTATTGAGACAAGACACACTACTTCTTCAATTTTAGGCCACATGGGTTGTGCTTTAACCAACTGTGGCATTTGTGCAACCTGAAAAAATTGTCTGTTGCTAAAACTCTGATAAATGTATATGGAAAAAGACTCTTGGTGAAAAACAGTTGGTTTGGGAAAAATATGTCATACAGTTCACCTTAATGAGTTTATTTTGGCGCATGCTAATATCTAAGGCTTTCAGTAGTTTGGCAAAGAATGCTGCTTAAAAATAAGAACTAAAAAATTAGATCCTAAACCTGGGTGGAGGGAAGAAATCAGTAAAAATGTTGGGGCAAGTGTTAAATTTTTCAAAGAGCATTGTCTTTCATTTCACATTTAGCTGTTGAGACAGCACACATTATTTAATTAATTTTCTGCCATGTTAGTATTCCTTTAACCAGCTGTGGTATTTGTGTAACCTGAAAAAAATTGCTCGGCTTTATCTAAGAACAAACAAGAATGGAAGCCTTTTCTATTTAATGTGCCTCTTAAGTAGTTGTAAATATTCCTAATAAGATAGTTCATCCTTCAATTCTCATAGAAGGTTTTATTGCATCGGTATTTTATTGCTTCTGAATGTGGTGGCGGATGCGTAGTGCAGTAGTGGTTCTGTACATGTTGGTTTACTGCAGTTGGGTCTTATTTTTTGTCAGCTTTCTTTGCCAAACTCCTGAAACAGTCTCAGACATTAGCACATGCCAACATAAACTCATTAAGGTGAACTGTATGACCTAGTTTTCAAAAACAACTGGGAAGAGTCTTCTTCATTTACATTTACTGTAACACCAAATTAGGTTGTTTTGGAAGTCTTAAGCTGTTTTTTCTTTATTATCCACTGAATGCATTGGAGCATAATGGCAACATCTTACACCGATAACAAAAACATTCTGAGACTCAAATTATGTGGGATATTAGATCGCAAGGCAACCACAAGCATTCAATCATTTTAATTTACGTAACGAAAGACGTTCTATTTAATAATAGTATGACACCTTGCATTTATATTGCATTTTATAACCCAAAGGATGTCAAAGGTTTTTACAGATCGTAAGGCCCCAGCTGGGTAAAAAGTAGCAGGTGTTACATACAGTACCACCCCCACTACAAAGCAGACCAGGTAGAAAAATGGCAAGATTTTACCATTAAATTAAAGTGGAATTTTACCTAGACCATGTTGTATTTAGTCAGAGGGTTATTCAAAGCATTACAGGAGATTGAGTACGCATCACTAACCCAAAACAGCTTAGAGCTGTCACCCAGGCTTGTGATGAGTAGAGCTGTTACTCATCACAAGCCTGGGTGAGTAATCAACCTGTTCTTGCACAGTGAAACTGGCAAAGCTCCTTCCTTTTATCTCATCTTCCCTTGATGTTTTGACACGGACATGAGGCAATAAATAAGCTGTAGGCAACCACACCACATAAACCGTGACAAAAGCAAACAACTTAAATTCAATGTCCGCTCCCACATCAAGAGCATACTCCAAAATATGAAGAAATGAAAAGTTTGGTTGTCTCCATTTCAACTTCTAAATACTGATTTATTATCCTCAATTAAATATTACGCATGCCTTTTTTCCCTTAATTAATTCCTTCTTTGTAAATATATGGGAAAATATTTCACGATTCATCTGTGAAAATGGAATAAAAAGGCTTCTGTTTCATTGACAAAGTGTCCAGTACATTATGAAGACCTCAATCAGCACGCCCCCATGAGCCATCACACTTTTATGATGCAAACCTTGATGTGTCCTCCGTAGGAATCATAGCTGAAGAACTGGCACAGGTTGTTTCCATAGCAGGAATTTTCCATCTGCCCCTGGATAAGGATGTTCCTGGTGAGGAGACCAACTTCCGCTCTCATATCAATCCCATCAATGATCTCACCTACATGCAGGAACTGAGGCTTTCCTGATAGAGAAAAAGTAAAACAGTTTAAAAAAAAAAAGCATTTGTCCCTTAGGACTTGCAGGCCTGTGTGGTTTACTGAGCCTGCTGTTCATCAGACACTCCATCACACAACCAACATTTCCAAGGGGCTACTTTTTTTCCTGGCAAGCAAAACTGTGTCTCAAACAGTCTGAAGCCAAGGGATTGCTACGGTCGCAATCTTACAAAAAGCAGGATCACAGTCTCATCTATTACTCTATTACTTGAAATAATTAACAAATGAAGAGAACATTTGCTGAGTGTACGCAATAGAAGTTTCTGACTAAAAAGGACCAACGTGATGATGAGTTAAATACTGCACACACTGTAGGTTAAGAATTGTTTCTTCTGTGCTGTGGCCATGAAAGGTTTCACAGGGCGTTGGCTGAGGAGCTGAGCCAACGAGCTGAGACGATAACCTTTCTTAAGTTGGGTCCTTCATGACTGATAATGCTACTAATGTTTACTGTAGGCAGCATAACTAGGGAGACACTTGTAGGTGCATAAACACTGTATATTTTATTGTGTGTTGGCAAAGCAAAAATGTAGAGGCAGTTTGTGCTTGAATTTCACAACACTTGTATTTCCCATTTAAAAAAATCTATAAAGTGCACTTCCTTCCTGATGTCAGTGTGGCAAGAAAGCTTGCCTCTCTTCATCTTATATTTATAGACCAGCTGCATCAGCTGTTGAATCTGGCAGGAAATTAGCTGTTTTACCACTTTTACCAGTCAAGCCACAAAACAAAAAACAAAAAAAACCAAGGGGCCACAAAAGTACATAGCAGGAGGTATATACAGTCCTAATTTTAAAATGACTTTAACTGGAAGAAAATGAAGGAGACAAATGTAAAATAACTCATGGCCTTCCTTTAGGTATACAGTATAACAAATGTAGCGTGGTATGCTTAACTTTATACCCTGAAATATGAAGTGCCTTTACACTTTACTCAAATCTCCCACTACTGAAATAATGATATACTTAGGATTGTGTAGCATCATGTGCAAAGCAGTAAAGCAGGGGAAGAGACAAAGAAGAGAAGAGACAAAGGCATCAGTGAATTATGCTAAAGGGATCTTATACTGGGGTTAGATTTACTACTTTTTTAAAACATGACCATGGGTTACAAATTATAAGTAGTTACAGCTACTTGAACAAATGTAGGTCTGACTTCAATCCCTATATCACAATGTTTGCTAAATCCAGGAACTGATTTGAACTTTGGGGTCCTGAAGGAAATGTCCCCGAATTCATCATTCCCAGCTCCATCCTGTGTCCTGTCGGTGCCCTGCCTCGGGCCCCGTTTTACTTTATCTTCCAAGAGCTGATGACATCAGGCTTTAGACTGAGAGGAATTCATCATATGCTTAAGATCATTTACACTGAAACAGAACGTGCTGGAAACAGCTTGCAGAACTACGGACATTAGGGTAATGATATGCTTAATTCAGAATATCCCTCAACCGAAAGGCATCTGACTCAAAAATGTGTTTCATATGTTAAAGGCCTTATCAGAGAGCTAGGCAATTTCTCCGAAAATCATATGGTATTACTCAATGGCAATCATCCCAATATGAAGCATTCAGACACCCATTAAAACTATTATCATGCTGTTGTTCATTCCTGGAGCAAACACAAAGGGACTTTTGTACTGAGCAAATGTAACTACTGTTAAGTTCAAGGTTCACTGACAGTCGACAGTATCAAGGCAAAATGACACTCATTTTGGTTTGTGGGGAAAACACTGAAATCTCACAATGGAAACGTACACGTCTAGATACACAGTCACATGTGCAGAAACCCTGACGTTTTATGCCCAGTGGCGTTACTCAGGCAGACTAATGCATGTCTGTGTGACACGCAGCTGAAAACCATTTCCACATACTGCGGCACAAGGAACAACCTTAATAACTGTCAGCAGACAGTTAGCATAATTGCCAGATAGGGAGCTCTTTATTTCACCCGACTGGGCTCTCAACAGGCCAGTACGCTGCTTGAATGTTAGTCATAAGCAAGCACCGTGTATTTCTTTCTCAGTCAGTGCTACATCAAACATCACAAAAATGAGCAGATTATGTACAATGTGCAATTTACGTACGTTATTTGAAAGCAATAGAAAAAAATCCTTTTTTGTATTACTTTTGTAAAAGATTTCCAGAAAATGGAGCCGTATTGTCCTCCAACACTTCAATTTGCCAAAACTTAAGAGTGATTAGAAAGTTTAATTCCTTCTATTCCTGCTACAAAGCTGAGACCACAGTGAAAGGTACAGTAGGCCCCTGTGTCAACTGGACTGCAGTACTGCAGTAATGTTGGATTAACCAACTATCACCAGCTCGCACTGTCTTGGCCTCTGGAAAGAGCCAGTGGAATGAAGACACACAAACGACTTCCTTACCCTGTATTTTGACCTGCTTCTTGCTGCACTCTGGACAGGGCAAGAGGGTAAACTCTTCAGCTTGGTGCATGGAATAGTCAGTGCTGGCAATGACGATCCGGTCACCTGGACCCCAGCTCTGAACGTCGTCGTTTAGGTGCAATACTACTCCATCCACAACATCCACTTGGAAACCGGAAATCGGATAGCCTGCGGGGAACAGGAAAACGAATGATCACAAGTCAAAAACGAGGAGCGAGAATATGGGATGAGAAGACTGACCAACGGCATTTGGTCACAAAAACATAATTCGGTTTATACCATTCAAACTGCAGTCTGAGAAAAAAAAAGTTGAAATTAGTACATAAAACACAAAAATCTCTTTAGAGGACTTAATAAGCCCATACATTTGCAAAGCCTTTACTGCTGTGAACATGTGTAACTAATTCACTAGTTTACTTACATTAAAACTTTAACTAAGATAACTATATCCTGCTGTCCCAACGTATTAGGAAACCATAACTGCTTTACTGGATGTTTAATGTTTTTGGCTTTTTGAATGTATTGATAACTGTTTTACAGAGGGTGTTCACAGTCTTGCTTATCACAAGGGTGCCTGCTAATTGTTAAGGATAAGGAAAATAACCTTAATGATTCCTTGACAAGACATACATTGTCCATTTAACATTTAAAAAAGCTACGTACAACAACAGTCAGAAGCAGGCAGTTGCAGACAGGGAGAAAGAAAAACTACAAAAAATTCCCCTTTAAAAAGAGAGGCTTTATCAACCACAAACCATTTTTCCACTCGCTGTAGGCAGTGACGGAGAACCTGACTCCGTCCACTGTGAGAAACTCCCTGCGGGCCACAGCTCGCCCCCCGGTATCGTGGTTCTCGTGTTCCCGCACGTCCTCGCTGCAGGAGGCGTTGCCGCCGCCGACCACTCCGACCAGAGCCCAGGCCTGCCTGCGGGGAGAAACGCCAATGTCCACTCTGCTCCCCGTCCAGAGAGGCCGAAGCCTCTCTCGTTATCATCGCTTATTATCTCATGACAGCCTCTCACGGCATTTTGTGTTGGAAAGCAATGTACAAACTACAGGTGTGTCCTTGTTACCTACTTTTCAAATCTATCAATCACCACCTTACATCAATCCAAATCTGAATTATTCGCCTACACCATCAGAGTTGTGTTAGGAAACACGTACAGCTTACAGTCTTGAGCACTTCTAAGCTTTAATCAATAAAAGATATAAATTAGTCCCATATACACACACCTCAAATCAATCAATTTCCTCATACCCAGCTATAAGGTTGGGACAAATGTAAATGTACAATTATGGGACAATATTTCTTGCAACATGATAGCATCTTTACATCTCTTGTGCACAAACTACTCAGTATCACATGTTCTGAAGTGAAAATGTATAAAAATGAATACTACAGTTGTCGCCTTGCAATTCTTTGAGAAATGACACACGGACAAATTGGAAATCAAATGCACTAACACTTCATGATGAGTAACTACAGGAAGCTGTGGATGGCCTGTCCTGAGTACACAGTTTCTCGGGAATGACTGAGGTCATCCACAAGAGCTCAGGAGCTATGGGAAATCTGGATTCTGCTCAGATGGCAAAACTCCCTTAACAAACGAAAATGAGTATTTCCTCCAACTTTCCTTATAACTGAAATAGTCAAAGAAACAAATTAGGACCAACACCCCTTCAGTTCACAAGAATTGTGAAGAAAAGTAGAACATGCCGCTTACTCCTGCCCCCAGGGTATTGAGCAAATCAGCCGTACTTGAAAATCTCACCCTCCAATTTTTCGGCTTCCTCTAAAACATTTCCATCACAGTGAAAATAATCTGCAGTGAACACTTACCCCAATAACCTACCATGCATGTTGAATCTGACACAAAAACTGAATGGTATGCTACAAATGACTGACAGGAACACACATCCTGCCTGAGAAACCTGTTTCCAACTTGCACTGCTTCCCCAGTTCAAACTAAATCAACTTGGGACACTTTATCACACGATTTCCTATATTTGTTTTCACACACATTAAGGTTATCTACACAGCCCTTGGAGGACAATAAGCTTTCAGGCATCTCATTTAATAGAAAAAGTGTTTTGACACATTTTCTTCCCCATCCAATATCTGATGACACCTGACATCACACAGTGGAGTGCTTGCGTCAATGCGCTGCCCATGGTCGGACTTATGGGTCACATTCATTCTTCCTTGTCTTTTAAGTCCATTTCCTCCACTGTCCCTTTCCTGCTCTCCCTGCACTGCCAGGGACACATTGTTTTTGCCAAGAAGAAGGACAAGGGGATGCTGCTTTCTTTCACTGATGCCTGGATTCTGCCATCTTCCTGTCAGTCTCAGGACTGAGTGAAGTTTCTACAAACATCCGTTTAAACTTGGGATATTTTGCACACACCTGTTAATTTAAGAACTGCCACAAATGCTGGTCCTTTCTTATGACAGCAAATCGCTCAACGTGTTAATTTTGACTTTATTTCTCTGAGTAAGTCAGTTTCACCAGATGGTAATAGCGGAAGGTTTTATCACATGAATTTCATCTGAAAGAAAGAGAATTATTCAGAGCACTAACGCACTAATAAACCAGTGAGTAAAGTGAATGTACAAAAAAATATAGAACAGGATGAGGGATGCAAAGGCTGATACATTTACCCTTCATTCTATGATGCTGTGGAACATTTCCCTTGTTTTTGGAAATCCTCAACAAATAGTTAATACTCATGTCCTTGTAGAGATAGGGTAAACAGAAATTTTGATTGAAATGCATCTACAATAGTGTTGTTTTTTAGATTTTGCAAGGAATACTTGCTCGGAACAACAGAATGCATTTTTAAAAAGTTAATTATGAGGTTTAAAGCCTCTGTGATGATATTGCTATAATTAAAATGAAAATAACACTCTATTAAGTGTACGAGGCAAATTATGTGTGCAAAAAATCAAACTTCCACAAACATTATAACTAATAAAAGTAAGAAAACCTTTTCAGATCTCGTAATAGATGTGGATTTCTCTAAAGCTATAATTGTGTGCAGACTATACCTGTTGCAGGTATGAAAACTCTACCATATATACCTAATCCTATAAACAGTGAAAAACTTTTTTTAAACAACAGACACACAAATGAGGATCAATCCTGATTAAATTAAATGTGTCTGTTTCCAAATGCATATTTAACTAGTTTTTTTTAGTAAGCATATATACAACATATGAAAGTACTTGCTGCCTGAGGTGCACAGTAATTGATTGTTATTAAGGACACTGGGGCTGATCATATGTTCAAATAGCAAAGTGAATCTGGAAGATACACTTGGTACTATAGAAGCCAGTCTCTGCTAAGTAAAAATAAAAAATACTCACACCAAAACCAGAGATACAAGCATTACTGAAATAATTCCATCAACAAAGCAGTGGTGACTTGTTAAATACTGCAGATAAAGCAGACCTCAGATGACTATATATTTTTACATGGTCAATAAAAGTCTATGCCTCAAGTGTTTTAATTGCTAGACTAGGATGAATGTTAGAATTCAAGCACAAGAACCACAGTTCTTTCCTGCCAGATGCTGTTTTTGTTATTTCTGTACAGAAGTATTGAACAGGGCAGGCTGACAAGTGTAGTCTAAGGATTCAGGACTATTTTTCTTGGCTCTGATCTTTTTTTTTTCCTTTTGCTATGGCAGTAAAAAAAATATCAGCTGATAAGGTGGGGACAGATCCCAAAGATTCTTTAAAACCTTATTGAAAATTTCAGAGCTTAGGTTAGTATTTTCCTTCCAACTAAATGGAATTTCATACACAAATTCCTAATGTATTTTCCATCACTCCAAACTAGAGGAGAGCGTTTACACAACAACAGTCTTTGTAGCAAAATATAATTTTAAAAATTAAATCTCTCTGTGCCTTTTACATTAGAGCCAAGAAGCTGAATGAAAACGTTATTTTTTATCATCAAGACCAGCACCTCTTGAAAAAGCATTAATCTTTTCCAAGATGGTCTTTGTCATAGCATTTGGGCTCAAATGTCTGTTCTGGACTGCACACAAAGAAAATTCAATTAGGAAAGGACACACATTTCACTAACTAATGTGAAGCTTTTTAAAACTCTGCTCCCAGCAGGAACTTTTTGTGGAGACTGGCATCATCTTACTACATTTAACATGATTTACTGCAGGATGTTATGTCATTTTGCAAGACAAGCAGGTAATAAAAATAGCTTTCAGAGACCTCCTTATGCAGAGGGTCTACATATCGAGCATGAGTGAGGACTTTAGTGTTCCAGAAACCTGAAATTGGTCAAGGCAAAAAACTCATGAAGGAGTTCAGCTAACACCCTGCTAATTGCAAGAGCACATACACTCCTGCTCAAATAGTACTGCACACTTTATATTATTACTGTGCTATTACTGTTACTATTATACTATTACTCATATTATTACTATAATCCATGAGTTGAAGGTTAACCACATTTGTCTCTAGAGTATTTTCTAGGGCTTTAACCACTTACGGGGCTAGATTTACACTGACAGGCTGAGTGAACTCAACCTTGTTAGTCCTGAACATAGAAGACTACAAAGGGACCCAATACAAGTATTCAAAAGTCTTGAAGGCACTGACAAAAAAAATCTTCAGATTTTGTGAAACAGTGAAACAGGAACCAGAGGGAACAAGTGGAAGCAGCCTAGCATTCTTTACCCAAAGGGTTGTGGAAGCATGGAACAAGCTACCCATCCATGTTGTTCAAGCCTTTACCCTGGTTTCTTTCAAGAATGGGCGAGACAGGCTGAATGCTCTCGTCTCATTTGTAACCTGTTTATGTTATGATATTGTTTTCTCACCTCCAATCAGCATTAAACAAGGTCAGCACGCTAACACTGCTGCCTCACAGCTCTTAGGGTTCCAGGTTTTATGCTGGCCCAGGGAACATTCAGTGTGGAGTTTGCATGTTCACAACTGTATTCTTCTAATAAGAAGGCCACTGATAAAATTTCATGGTTGATGCACATATCAAGGGGACTGGCTCTATTGCAGTATTAGAATGCCTCAAATAATCATCACATCATCACGTGATGATACTGTTTGTGCTCACATTTAATATACCCAGTGCTTCTTATTAGGAGAACTCTTTTTTAAAAAAGAGAAATATAATGTGGATAGAAACCCAGGTAGCTCTGCAACATCCTCCTCTCGTTTTGGTTTCTGAATAACTTGCCCAGAGCTTGTGTCTGCATCCCAAAACTAGCTCCTGTCAAGCAGTTTTAATAAGTGTCTCTCCATATGCTAAATCAAATGCTTTAATTATCCAACTGGGAAAAAAAATGCTGCAATAGAAGAAAAAAAAACACGCTTTGAAACAGAAAATAAAACTGAATTACCTGTATTTCAAATCACTGACAAAAGAGCTTCCCAGTAAATCCTGTATCGTTTGCTTGGTTTCCTCCAGCAAGCTCTTAACAGCCGAGTCGCCCACAGCTAAGGCCACAATACGCCCAGGAGGGAGGGATTTCAGGAGCTCGTGGAGGGATCTGCTGTCATTTCTGGACTCGTGAGTATCGAACCTCTGCTTGATTAAGACCTCCGCCGTGTCTTGGTCTATCACTCGGAAATTGATGCCGCGGCTGAAGTTCTTCTCGAAGGCGTACACCCCAGCAGTCAGGCCAGAAGATGGCAGTGTTTGAGACAGCAGTGTCCAGGAGAGCTTCTGCAGGCCATGTAGCTCCAGCGTCCCGCCAGCTTTCACTCCAATGAACTTCCTCCCAAAGCCTGGAACTCCCTCGCCTTCTTCCGATCTGCCCAACAAGGTGATGGTGGCTTTGGATTTGTAGCGGCATTCGGGAGCGCCGATATGTAAGGCACCGCCAGCCTCGATGAGGACATGTCGAGCTCTTAAAGAGATGTTCCTGGAGCCCTCTGCGTTGTCAGCAAACACCAGCAAACCTTAAGAAGAAACACGTTTTGTTCAGCAGAACTGTTCGTGCACACTTCGCACTTATAAACCACTGTATGAACGGGTTGATTTTAGACTGACCAGACTTCCTACCACAGTTTATATGTATTCTGCTACCGTAGAAGATGAAATTAAGCAAAAGCACAAAACGCCAAAAATACAAAAACAGAAGGAAATTACGTTATGTCATGATGTTGCCTGAGGTGAATAACAGATCAACGGCAAACGCACACCACATGTCTCTGTGAGATGGAAAGAAACTAAAACATGAGCAGAAAACCTCACAAGAACATGCAAACCCTACACAAAGGCACTCCAGACCGAAATCGAACCCAGGACCCAAGAGCTGCGCAGCAGCACGGCCCACTAAGAATCCCCCTTGTCAATTTCAAAGCACAATTTGTTTTAAATGTGTACATGTCAGAGGAATGTAAGAAGAAGCAAGAAATCAGGGATTTATTTTTTAATATTAAACTATTGGTTATCCTATCTTGGTCAAGACACTCTTACAGGTTATAAAAACGGGCTGCCCTTAACAAGATCCACCCTAATAGTGCCAACACCTGGTCATAATTAACACTATACCTCCTTCCTTAATGATTAAAGAGCGGAGTGCAGCTGATGACTCCAAGCGAAGCAAGTCTCCTTTCCTGATAATTACATCTCTCTTTGGATCATGTCCTGGATTCCAGTTGCTAAGGGAGGGGTTGTGGTGTGGGCAGTTTTCTGAAATGATAAACAGAATATTTGGATATATACACAGGCACGTCACACAGATTTGAGTGGGTTGCTGCGTCAATGTGCACTGACTGCACAGAAAAAAAGAGAAGGTTAATTCCTTTACTTTTCCCCAAAAAAGTAGAACAAAGAGACACAATTTTGGCTGTTAAGCCCTCTTTTTGAAGGGAGCAAGGAATATATTACATGTAACACACAGCACAGAAGCAGGGTTATGAAATTTTGCATTCCAACTGCAGTTCACCTCTGTAACTTCCCAGCCAACTGAAACAGAAGGCTGTGGCTCAGTGTGGAGTAGTGGGCAGGGCTCTGGAATCTGGAAGGTCACTGCTTGAACATGTTGCTGCATGCAGACTGATTCAGTGAAATGCCCAGTCATATACATCTGTGTACAGATGTAAGCTGGTCTGGATTACAGTCATCCAAATAATAATAATAACAACAACAACATTATATCACGACACATGAATGGCATAAGACCATATATTTCTTCTGATATCCACTGGTCTTTACAGCTTGCTAGTGTGATTTGTGCAGCTCTCCCTGCTCCTGCTGAGATTCGATCCCAGTGCCTCACGTGCTCCGAGGAAGAACAGTGCCTAGACAGCAGATAACTCTGCTGCATGCCGTCTAGACGGCATTTCTTTGACCATCTGGGTGCACTGGTAAAAAGAGAGTTTTCTTCCTGGGTGGCTCAGATTGTGACCCCTGCCCGGGCTGCTTTGTCTCAATATTGCAATCTTAGCAGATAACATGGCTCAGTAATGGCAACGCTATCTGTTGCGATGTTCTGCTTCTCACCTGAGCTACCCTTGTGGCAGTCTTATGTACAAGTCACATGGGCACTTGCACTGCCTGTCTGTCTTGACCGTGCTCAATGTGTCCACTCGTTTATGTGTGGCGAGATAAGACTGAGAATCCAAGTAATCCAAGTAACCATCACTGCACCATTCAAAAAAGATCTCTTTCCAAGACAAAAATATATTAAAGATTTCCTAGCTTTTAGACATTTACTGCTGCTTCTGGACTGCAGAAGTCATAAAAAAAGAAATGTCTAGTCTTAGAAGTCCAGTGATATCCATTATCTTCACCTATCTTTTTCTTTTCTCCACCTAGCTCATTTTCTTATTTATAGTTTTCTCAGCTAGTCAGGGCACAACAATTTAAACGTAAACTAAGAAAGAAAACTGCATGCTTACTGGCCAACATTCACTCACCATCTATAACATCTCTCGTTGTCAAGCTGAGTATAAGAATTAGTGCAATGAAGAATGCAAACACAGAAATGGCGAAACAGATCAAAGTGTATTTCCTCCTCTTCCTCTCGCCTGCTCTTCCTCTCCTCTGCTCCTCGATGGTGAATGTGAAGCTGGTGTGGTTCTCCTGGGGGTCCGGGGACTTCAGAGAGGGGCAGATCTTTGGTGGAGGTGGGGATCGGACTGGGGCAATTCTCCCAGGCACATACCCCGGTGACCTGTGGCTGTTCCCATTGAGCGGCGGCAGAAACACAGGGGAGTGTCTGGGACCGTCTGTCACCTGCATGGTATCAGCTGCCTTAAAAACCACACCACACAAAATTCAGCATTAAAGACCAGAAGACTTTTTTTTGTCACCTTAAAGTTGTTAAAAACGCATTGCGTAGTACAATCTGCAATGCCAACCTGTATATTTTAAAAATAACGTCACATTTATTAGACACGATCCTTTAATAAATCAGAGTGACGGTGATAATTGCCAGGGATCACAACAGTATTTCAGCATCTGTACCAATAAAGATGCAAAATGAAACCAGGATTAAAACAAATTCACCACAGATAAGGATTTACAGGCAATTTTCAAGAATATTTTAAATAACCCCCTATACATGCTCTGATTTTCAGGAGCATTACTTATATACGAAGAGTTCGATTAATTACTCGCTCTGAAACCGCACCACAAAATTAACTTGTGCGACAACAGGTGGTATGCTATGGCTATCCAGGGGACATAACGAGATATATCTACCAATTGTACATGCAATATGCCACCAGCATTCTTTAGAAACAGGGAGAGACGGATCTCAGATATGGCTCAAAGGAAATATGCGTGTAGTGAAGTACTATTACTAAAACATCTAGTCGAAAAATAATTAAGACTATTTCAATTCGCCTCTGACTCATATTTCTATATACTATGCTTGTAAGGCAATGAAAATGTAATTCCGTGTGTCCATGATGACAAAACGGGAAAAGACGTAAAAATAAGTATATCAGACACGACCCCAGCGTTAAGATCAATATTGCAAGCCATGCTTGCACTTAATTCATGACAACAGTTGTCGAGTATTTTTTAAAGCCTACATTTTTACGATACTTTTTTGTCCTGCGAAACATATTACACCAGTATGATTACCTAACAAATATGCAGGTAAAACTATCTCTGAAGAGCAAAAAGAAGCGAGAGAACTTGCGTCTGTCCTACTGAGAGACCGTCAGAAACCTTATCTGCCGGTTTTAAACAGGATGATTGCTCAAGACTTCACCACACATTTATCCGATCAAACGATGGATCTACGCAAACTTCTTAGGAGCACTGAAACATGAAATCCACAAACTTCCCAGAGAGGAGGAAATATAGTTGTATATCGTACTACATATCCTTTGAAAATGCATAATCTACCTCGAACCTTAAATACAGTAGCGCGTGTTTAGTTTATGGAAAAAATCCAGTTCCGTTGTATTACATTATCTGCACTGTACTTACCGTTTAAAAGCTAATTTGAAACTTTCCTTGCCATTCGCTCTTTGTTTGGCCTCAGTTTAGTTCCCACCACATGGAGCTAGATGAATGACAAAAAGGTTTGCTCTTTTCGATTGTTTTGAAGTTTTTACATGATGTTTTTCCTTTAAGACAAAACTTCACCAACCCCCATCCCAGAACCAGATTGAAAAGGAAGTGAGACATGAGATTTGCATTGGAGATTGACAACAGTGTAAGGAGTGGCTTGAAAATCATTCTTTCGGATCCGAGGTCGGACACAAGAAAATTACGAGGTGAGCTGTCTCCACACTCCACCTACTGACATAAAACTGAATTGAAAGAAAAGCAGCAGAAATATAGTTTTGAAATGCTTTGTGTCAGGCGTTTGCTTACTTTACGATTAGGTGAAGTTCTGCCGGTATATCTAGATCAATTGTCTCAACGAGATACTGCAAAGAAATAACGCTCAGTCCTCAGTTAAGTGTGTATATATGAATACAAGTGTATCTTAATGCAACAAAATAAAATTTCAGCTTTAGCTTGAGGTGCGATTGAAACCTCACGCTACTGCAATGCTAAAGTTGCTTATAAAGTGAGCAGTATTTAAGATATGGTTACTTCACCACGATGTGATTGACACAAAATAAAAAATGGCTCTGGTGGGAAAAAAATGCGACCCTTCTGCAGTAGCTGATTTCACGCAATGGTTAACTAACACAACCCCAAAATAAATATGCCCATCTTTCTAACGCGGAACTTTGCGGTACTGATCGTTTTGAAAGTCATTAGCAGGCCAAGCTGAAGGTCCTGAGAGGAGAATCAAGGACTGCGATCCACACCCACGTAGATATAATGACCACCACGGTGGTCACGGGTGGGGTGAATAAACGTTTTATTGGCTTCATGTAATGTTTTTTCGTCAGTATTTATTTGTGAATTAAACAAATAACTTCACTTTTTTGATTACGTGCAAAAGAAGAATCTGTATTTGAATATGACCTCTAGGCATTATTAGATTGTGTATGTGGTGATGGGGTGGATTTGTGATTGTGAGCTTTTCATATAGCTTTTGCATATTTGCTGTACGGACCAAATCTATCTTATATTTTCCTCTCACCACTGACAAATCATCATTTTAATCTATTTTAAAGTTTTAAAACCTACAAGAAGAGCTTAGCATTAATTACTGGTAGACAATCAGATACTTCAACAGCAAGCAATCAACCTGAATTTGACCTAGATTTTGTCCCCAAAGGCAGACTAAGGCGTGTATACTTGTCATTATGTTTCATTTTAAGAAGTCTTCATAGTTCAGACTGGGCCTTGGGTTCATTCCAGTCTGGAACAGCTGACCGTGTGGAGTGTAATTGTGGAGCGTCCTGCCACCCCTCTAGAAATGTTGGAAGACGAGTTTCCCTTGAAATACAACATTGTGTGTTGTGTCCTGCTGTGGACTGGTGTCCTAATGCCCCAGTAAATTGACAAGGATACTATACTATAAAAAGG